GTTTGGTATCTGTTTACTCGGTGCAACATCATTTTTTTATTTTACAAAAAAAAAAAGGGAATTGTGGAGGGTTTTTGCATTAAATTTCAAAAATAGTATTTTTTCCCAAAAATTTGCATTTGAAAAACCACTGAGCAAATATGGTGTGACATAAAAAAAATGCAAAACCCACCATTTTATTCTCTAGGGCTTCTGCTTTAAAAAAATATATAATGTTGGGGGTTCTAACATGTAATGTAACATGGATTTTTACATGTAAACAAAAGTGTCAGAAAAAGGCCTGGATGTCAAGTGGTTAAGATGACCATAAACTGGCAGATGTCTTATTGCGATAACTGCTGCTGCTGGAACCCTTTGGAACTTGCTACTCTGTAGCTTGGGGAATGACCAGTGAGTGTGAATGGCCATTTTCCTTCATTCCTTCATTTGTCTTTCAAAATGAGGAAGGAAGGATCACCTTTGTTGCTGTAATTTTCTAAAATGTTGGAGAAGCTCTGTCTGTGCTAAAAAGTACTACTGGTGGCCAGGATGTGATCCTTGCAGTTCATTGCTACAAACTTCCCAATCAGAGTGAAAAGGTGTTTGGTAACCAATATAAATCATATGGTGCAGCGCTACAGAAATGAAAAACTCTGTAAAGGCGAATATATGGATCAAATAAATAAATGACTAAATAAATGAATGAAACAGTTCATAGAATAAGGTGACTTCAAGTGCTCTCCTCTATTTCATATCCTCCTAATGCTCAGGCGCTGTGCGAAATAGTGCTGAAGAAATGCACACTCACCAGAACGCACAGTAAAATGAGCGTTTGTCAATATAAATTCCCCTTAGAGTCATCAGCTGGTCAGGATAGGGTCTGCAGTATGATAGCCTCCCTCCAGAGCTCCTGGATATTCCTGTGCAATCCCTTGGTAGGTGGTAACCGTCAGGCCCATGACACTCTACCAATTCTTTTACTAGCCAAATACCAAAAGTTCACTCCCCTTTTATGGTGTCACTGCATCGCTGACCTCGAAGTTGTAGTTCCATAGCAGCTCTCTTCCCAATAATCAAGATTTTAAAGCACTTTGACCCATGAGGGAGTGACCCACATTAGATTCAGTGAATGCATCAGTGGCTGAGGAATTTGTGGTCATTTAGCCAAAAGCCAATTTTGAGGTGAGGTACTGATGTTGAATAAAAATCCCAGTTCATCCCAAAGGTGTCAAGAAAGATTGAGGTCAGGGCTCTGTGCAGGTTACTCGAGTTCCTTAATATCAAACTCATCAAACCATGTCTTCATGGACCTGGCTTTGTGCACAGACGCACAGTCATGTTGGAACAGAATAGGGCCCTCCCCAAACAGTTGCTGCAACATTAGTAGCGTGCATTTGTCAATTGTAAGAAAATGTAGCATAGAAAATGTAGCATTAATGACAACCTTCACTTGAAGAACCAGAAGTCAAAAATTTGGAAGGTTGTCCACCCCTTGGTCGTATACTAGGTGTGATGGTCAGGCAGCATATGAAGACGTTTTTACATAGACAGTATGTAATTAATATCAGCATGATGTAAATTGACTATTAGTGGATGATGATGTAGCACCTACCCAGTGTAGAGTAGGCTGCTAGGTAATTTTAGTTGGCTCCACTGTGATCAGAGGGGCAGTGTTTGATTAATTAGAGCTGATAAGTGTCTCATGGGCTGCTGTTCTGTTACTTCCCCCTGTCTTCTTGAGGATTCTAGAACCATAGTGGGAGAAATAACAGAGCATGCAGCCTGAATATTTATGGAACTTCAGCAAACCCTAAGGAGATATGCCCAGTAGGTGGTGAGAGAGCCCATAAATAGTCTGAGGCCTGAGCAGCAGAATGCAGAATTCCTGACTGAAGTCCTGCAGGAGGAGACCCCTGTGCAGGGGCTCTGCCCCTGGGGCAGATTTCTAGAAGAATCCATCAGGAAGACACCAAGGTCCCAGCTAGGTTAAGCTGGCGGGACTATTCACAAGTTTGAGTCCAAGGATCAAGCGCGGTCTAAAGAAGTTCACTGGATAGAGCCAGTAGGAAGTTGGTGGGAAAGAGTCCAGCTGTACTATGGTTGTGTGAGTCTGCATCTCCCTTACTGAGAAGAGCCTGGTGAATATTGGAAGGAGGCAACCGATGATTCTGTGTGAGTATAAGACTGAAAAGTTAGTGACTGTGGGGGTTATTTACTAAAGCTGAAGCGTGCAACGCTGGCAAAAAAAAACTGGAAGCTGATTGGTTTCTATGCAAAGTTTAATTGAACAAGCTGAAGTTAGAAGCTGATTGACTACCATGCATAGCTGTACCAGATTCTGAGTGCCCCAGTTTTAGCAAATCTAAATAAAGATCCTGTAGGACATTCCATTTTATACAATGTAGTCAGAAAGCTGAGGAGTCCTCAAGTTAATCAGTTCTACAGTTTATTGCTTCCTCACCCTATCCAAGTTCAACATTCCCAATAAAAATGCAAAAAAAAGAACCCCTAAACTGTTCTTTGGAGCCAGTGGAGAAGTGTAGCAAATGTTGTGTGCCTGGCTGTGTGTGCTCTAAGGGGGAAATAGGACTTTATTCACCAGTGGCTTTTTAGCCTAATTTCACATCTGTGCAGGTGTTTCCTGCTGCAGGTCCTCACCTGTTCCCGCAGCCACAACCACCTACACTAAACGCAAGAGATGTGTGCATATGCCATTAATCCTAATGACGTGCTGCACACACTGGGAACCACACTGCACTTGAGGTTCCCCTGTGGGCTACGATGCCAGGAATGCGGGGAACTTTTCCCTCTTTTTTGAAGAAACACAGCAGCCCATTCAAATGGAAAGCCCATTCAAATGAATGGGCTGCTGTGCCCACGTAAAACGTGGCTTGCAGAACCACATCAATATGAACTTAGCCTTAGGGGTGCTCTGCAAGGAGTATATATGATATGTGTATGATATAAATTTGCATTGTGAGAACAAACAGTAAGGTACAACTATTGCTCCGCTCTGCAGGGAGCCTAACTACAGTATGTAGTATGCAGATATAGCTGCCTCCATGTGCATAATTGATTTTTAAAGTTGTACATAGAAACAATGTTTTTAAATCATTAACATACATTGATCAGAACATTTACATTAAGCTGATCTCTTACATGTATATCTAAAAAAAAAAAAACTTTGAAAAGACTATACATTTATTTAATCGAACACAATCTCCAGTCTTCATTGGAAATCCTCCATTTTTGTGTTTTTCACTAGAACAGGTGCGCAATAGATAAATCAGTACTTTTAATTAAACTAACCTTTATTGGGTTATTTATCAGAACAATTGGTGCACTTGAGATAGAAACTGATTGCTCAGTATTTATCAAGGGAGATAGTGTGGGTGTAATCAGTGGTGGGCTTCTCTGGAGAAATATGAAGCAATCACTTTGTCTCACCATTGTTGTCCAGAATGAATAGCCATCACAGTGGCCTCTGTCACTGGGAGAACCTCATCAAGTCTCAATGAACGTGGTCTTTCTTCTGTGTTGTCACTTTCACCCGATGGTTACAAACCAAGATCACGTATAAGATCAGTAGATGTATACTATACATTTATTTCTATATGTCACAAGCTGGTCTCTTATACCAAGAAGCACATAAAATAAAGAAGAGAACTGAAATGACTACAATGACCCCTGTCTCCTCCACTTTTCATCAGACCTGCCACTATAAGTACAGTCTGGAGCTATTATACACGCACCGGTCACATTATTAGGTACATCTGTTCATTGCTTGGTAACACATATTGCAGGGTAACTTGCAGGGCATGGCAGCAACTCAATGCATTTGGGCATGTAGACGTGGTGAAGACGACTTGCTGAAGTTCAAACCGAGCATCAGAATGAGGAAGAAAGGGGATTTAAGTGGCTTTGAACATGGCATGGTTGTTGCCAGGCGGGCTGGTCTGAGTATTTCAAAAACTGTTGATCTACTGGGATTTCCATGCACAACCATCTCTAGGGTTTACAGAGAATGGGCCGAAAAAGAGAAAATATCCAGTGAGCGGCAGTTGTATGGCTTAAAATGCCTTGCTGATGTCAGAGGAGACTGGGCAGACTGGTTTGAGATGATAGAAAGGCAATAGTAACTAAAATAACCATTTGTTACAACCAAGGTATGCAGAATACCATCTCTGATCGCCCAGCACATCCAACATTGAAGCAGATGGGCTACAGCAGCAGAAGATCATACCGGGTGCCACTCCTCTCAGAACAGGAGACAAAGGCTAATATTCACACAGGCTCACCAAAATTGGAGAATTGGTCTGATGTGTCTTGATTTCCCTAGAGATGGTTGTGCGCGCAAATCCCAGTAGCTCAGCAGTTTTTGTAATACTCAGACTAGACCGCCTGGCACCAATAACCATGCCACGTTAAAAGTCACTTAACACCCCGGTCACGTAAAGCCCGACTTTGAAATCATGCGACTTACAGTGAAGTCAAACTATTTCAAAGTTGGGGGGACATACCAATTTCAGGTGCTATTTGTAAGACATCTGACACAGATGTCTATTCAAATCGCACCAAAAGTAGTACATGTATCACTTTAGAAATCGGTGCGGCTCCGACCAAGTCGTAACTGCACACCGATTTGACTGCTGTATTTGCGGACAATAGGGTGCGACTTTGCATATGATTTGCAAGTTGCATGACATGCAAATCGCATGCCAAGTCGCACCCGGTGTGACCGGGGTGTAAATCTATTTTCTTCCCCATTCTGATGCTTGGGTTGAACTTCAGCAAGTTGTCTTCACCACATCTAGATGTCTAAATGTATTGAGGTGCTGGCATTTGATTGGCTGATTAGCAATTTGTGTTGCCAAGCAATTGAACAGGTGTACCTAATAAAGTGTCTGGTGAGTGTATGTGTCCATGCCAGGGGCGGACTGACAACTCATGGGGCCCTCGGGCAATAGGGGATCATAGGGCCCCTGTGTCCTTGCCCAAACTCAAAAAAGCCTATGAAAAAGGTACCAGGGGCATCTCATGGGGCCCCCTACTGACCCCGGGCCCTCCGGCAGTGCCCGAGTTTCCAAATGGTCAGTCCGCCCCTGGTCCAGGCACACATAGGCTTTTACCAGAGTTTAAGAGCAGCAGAGTTTAGAGTCAGTTAAACTTCCCTCTACTATATGCAGAAGAATCGCATTCAGGAGAGGAACATTTTGACCCAAAAAACACCAAGCGTGGCAAAAAACGTGTGTTAGCACACCTAAGCGCTAGCCGCCATTTAGTGCTCGTGTGCTTATTAATTTTAATGGATCAGTACTCTGCCCAGTGAAATGAATATACGTCCAAGCGCTAAAAGCGGGTACCGCATTTACCCAACCCTTACATCACTTGTTGCTATATGTTTCTGCTTTCAGCTGCTTTAAAAAGGCACCAAGCTGCCGAAATCGAGCTACAAAAGTAGCTACAAAACATTTTGAGTTTCAGGCGTTTGGCTTCATGCGTTATGGAGTTAACATGTGAATCATCTCCATAGAGAATTACTGATTTTTTTCTCCCTGAGCGTTTTCGAGCTTCAAGCTACCAAATGCTCAGGTGTGAATGGGGCCTTAAAGTGAATCAAGCGAATAAGTGATGAGGCACTGCTGTGATTCGCTCAGCTCCTGCAAAATTCCTGGGTAGGTAGAACATCAACAGTTGTTTTTGTATGTACAGTAGCTGGTCATAGACCTAAGATGGCACATGGATGGGGTGCACATGTGTTGTATATCCCTTTAAGCTGAATAAGCCGTATTTAAGATTGAAATATATCCAATTACTATAAAAATCGGCAGTTAGACATGATCTACAGCCATATGCGTGTCATCCATGTCCCATATAGCCGGTATATATCAGAACGTTTTTTATGAGTTCTGAATGGACCTGCGCTGATTTATGGGTATCATTAAAACACAGGAAGATTCTGCTCATATTCTGTGATCGTTCTGCAGCTCTCATACCCCCGGGGAATGAAATATCTGACCTATCTGTCAGTCGTATAAACCTACAGAAGCTTCTGTGTTTAAAGGTCACACAGTGGACATTACAAGATGGAGTTAGTTCTGTGTGGTTGCCAATTGAGTTCTTGTTTGAAGGCACATAAGGGATTTATCTACTTTTGTATAAAATTAATGGATCCACTTTCAGCAGATCAGAGGTACCCACAGATGGGAGATAATGATTGCTTCATCTGGGTCTGGATTCAGTGATAGTCTATATACAGTTTCAATAAAAAGTATGTGAACCCCTTGGGATTATGTGGAGTTTTGCATGAATTGGGCATAAAAAATGTGCTCTGAACGTCATCTAAGTCACAACAATAGAAGAACACAGTCTGCTGAACATAATACTACACACAAACATTAGATGTTGCCATGGTTTAACTGCACATAACATGTAAACATTCACAGTGCAGGGAGGAGGAAAAAGTATGTGAACCTTTGGACTTAATAACTGGTTGACCCTCATTTGGCAACAATAACCTCAACCAAACGTTTCCTGTATTTGCAGATCAGACCTGCACAAAGATCTGGAGTAATTTTGGACCACTCCTCTTCACAAAACTGTTTCAGTGTAGCAATATTCTTGGGATGTCTGGTGTGAATCGCTCTCTTAAGGTCATGCCACAGCATTTCAATCGGGTTGAGGTCAGGACTCTGACTGGGCCACTCCAGAAGGCATATTCTGTGCTGTTGCAGACATTGTTTTGTTGAATTACTTGTATGCTTTGGGTCATTGTCCTGTTGCATCACCCATCCTCTGCGGAGCTTCAGTTGGCGGACAGATGGTCAGTTTGTCGGTCAGGCAGAAGGACAGTAAATCTATTTGTTGCAGGGAGGAGGCATTGTTTTCTATTTTTTTTTTTTACATCAGAAGAGGCTCACAGGCAATCTTATTATTCAGTCATTTGTTTTGTTATTTTATATTTTTTCCTATTTCAAATTCCATTGTACAGGAGCAGTCTGGTAAGGAGGAGGGGGGAGCAATTCTAGGAGTTATCCAGATGCCTTGTATTCACATGTTCAGATAAGTAACAAGCTGACAGTAGCTGCTGCTTCACTGTCCAATCACAGGCTGATCCAGTAACATGCTGAGGGGCAGGGAGGTGACCTAGACTGACTGCCTAAATGCAGTGGAGAAAAGTCAGGTCACCAGGCTGGCTGCAGAGTTTGGCAGAACAGCAAGAATAAAAATAATGCATCACACCACTATTCAATAGTATAGATACAATTGTATTCCAGTATGGGTCAAAGATACAATAAAAGGTATAGCCAACACATTTCAGGGGCCCAAAAAGCTAATTATTCAGTCCTTATACATTGTTTCCTTCTGCAACCTGTGATAAAGGGGATGCCGTTGGTCCCCCGAACCATGTTGGCTACTTCTTTTATTGTCCTTTTGACCCTTACTGGCCATAAAATTGTACCTGGACAGTTGAACATTGGTGCTGTGCGTCTCTTCTCCTAAGCTGCCTGCTTAGTAACCAGACCACCCCCACCAAAATCATCACAACACTAATGGATAGCAGCACCAATAGGACAACCTTGTGGGTCCAGTGCAATTTTTCCACTTTCACAATTACAGTCCAGCTGGAAAGTATGACTAGATTTAGAAAAAAAAAAAAAATATATATATATATATATATATATATACACACTATGTTGGCAAAAGTATTGGGACACCCCTCCAAATCATAGGATTCAGATGTTCCAATCCATGGCCACAGGTGTATACAATCAAGCACCTAGGCATGCAGACTGCTTCTACAAACATTTGTGAAAGAATGGGTTGCTCTCAGGAGCTCAATGAATTCAAGCGTGGTACTGTGATAGGTTGCCACCTGTGCAATAAATAAACAACAGCGACTCAGCCACGAAGTGGTAGGCCACGTAGAAGTCACCAACTGTCTGCAGATTCAATATCTAAAGACCCCCCAAACTTCATGTGGCTTTCAGATTAGCATAACAACAGTGCGTAGAGAGCTTCATGGAATGGCTTAGCAGCTGCATCCAAGCCTTACACCACGAAGTGCAATGTAAAGCGTCAGATGCAGTGGTGAAAACCACGCCGCCACTGGACTGTAGAGCAGTGGAGACATCCCACATGGAAGAAAAATATATTTGAACTATATTTTAAAAAATTCTTCACAAATATATTGACATATATTTGAAATACTACAATTGTGGCCATATTCAATATATTTAAAAATATATTTATTTATATATATATTTATGTTGAAATGCGTTTTTATTACAAATTATATGACAAATATTTTTTAAAAAATACATTTCAAATATACTGTATGTTTTTAAAAAAATACAAATCTACATTTTTGAAATGCATTTACAAATATATGTAAAAATATATATTAAAATGACTTTTTTATATGTTAAAAAAAATCTGAAGAATATATTTAAAAAAAAAAAAATATGCATTTTGTGCATTGAAATATACAAAGAGAAACAGACCACTATTCAAAATTACTAAAAAAAAAATATGAGCATTAATAATGAAATTTCGGATTAGATCCTCTAAAAAAATGATATTGTATACTACAAAATGACCGATGAAAATATAAATGTACCAGTTTTATCTTCATACTTGTCTGGTTTTAATTTTAGCACACTTAGTACATGGCAGGATCACCCTGGCTCACAATGTCGATGAGATATCTGCAAGCCCTATATTGTGTTCCTGACCTGAGCTCTGGCTGTGGGTGTTGTAAATTATTGACCGGGAAGTCACAGCCATTAATCTGTGGCCAGAGGCAGGGCGCATTGATTGCCCTTGCTGCTCATTGTGGTCACACTCTGTATATTAAAGAGGCTGATAAATTAAGTATGGGTGAATCTTTCGTAATACGTTATTTGATTAGCAGCAAGGGTGAGAAACGATGGGTATATCTAATGATTGGGACTGGCTTTTTTCCCTTAACATCCAGATAAGACTAACAGATAATGTTCCCCTGGCTGTGCCAGCGTGATTGTGTCTTTTCCAGGAGAACCCGGCCTGATGTATTCAAAGCCCGATAGATTTTGTTTAATGATGCCGAGCAGGTGAAATTGGTTTGGGAGATGGAAGACGTGAGAGAGAGACAACAGTGTATTGTTTTGGAGAGGCTCTGTGGAGTAAAAGCAAGTGATGATACAGATTTGAGTATGGCCATACATAGGCTAACAATTTAGCCATAATGAGCGCTGGACATGCTCGTTACCCTGCGCAATTTTTTTTAATGCTGCATGACCCTGGTAATCGGCCGCCCTTTCTTCTCATGTGTGTTTTTAACATTGGCCAACTAAGACTGTGGCCTTAGTTGATTTGGGGGACAATGAAACTATTTCTTACCACCTATAGTTGCACATGTCCTTCATGGGAGACCAATGGTCTGCCTATGCATGCTGCTGGGAGATTTGTATGGTGTATGATTGCAGCATCAATGTGATGAAAGTATCACCCCACTTTCTATGGTGAATGGAGAATGCACAATCAACAATCAGACATTTGGAACATTTCTACTTAAGTGTCATTCCAGTGGTCACAAGTGCTCATTTTCATTTAACTACTCCATTCCCAGTTATAGTGGTTGTGAGGGGCTGGCAGTGTGCTGCACATAGCTTCCTGAAAACATCACAGCACCCTGCCTCAGTACTCTTCTTGAGTGCTCAGTCTTGATGCAAGCAGTTGGCTGGCCTTTGGAAGGAGTTCTGCAAATATCAAAATGCCTTGATGGGTGGATATCATTCTGGAGGAGTGGGTGTTCCCAAACAGCTCTCATTTGCATGCAACATCCACATCTGATGCGGAGTCTCCATAACTGCCAAAACTCAAATTCACTGAATGGAGGCGGCAGGTCATGGACAGTAAGGCTGAGGGGGAAGGGCTAGAATATGCAAGAGATATCCAGAGATATCCTCCAACCAGGAAATGAAGCAGGTTCTGATTTGCCTCAGCTTCTAAAGTGAGAATCTCTGTGTGCAGTAAAAAGACCATGTATATCCACCTCTCTGGTAGCCCCATTTTTCCTTCCTCTTCTCCGTTCCATCACTGCAGTTT